ACATATGCAAAAATAAATACAACTTTTTTAGTCTAAAATCCAAACCACAAGTCATGTTTATTTTGATGTTCTGAGTCTTCCTTGTTCTTATTTGTTCTTATTTGTTCTCTTATTCTGGCTATTCTAATCTATAGATTAGAATCTTTTTTTATTTTTAGGGATAAGATTCTTTATTATAAGTGAAGGCTATACAGCAGTTAAAAATGGGGTGTCACCGGCAATATTCGGAAAATAAAGAATAAAAACCTGCTTAAAATAGCAAAAAATACCATATTTGGTGAGACTACTGTTACCATGGAAACAATATTATGTTCAAGAATATTGCAAATTATTTCTACCAAATACTTAATTTATGCTTGGGAATGCTTAAAATTAATAGATAAAGTGATAAAATTTATAAATTGAAATTTTTACGCAATAAGGTATTTATACTACGGAAGTGTATGGAGCCACCTTAAGAGCAGATGTCTGTAAGAATCGAGATTCTCGCGACAGTTAAGAAAAATCGAAATTCTGTTTATTTCACCAAAACATTCTCTTTAGGGAACTGTTTCAGAAAATTATATTTAAAATCCTGGATAATTTTTATTTTGTTAAATTTTCAAAAATTTCGAAAATCCGTCTGACGGCGTGTGTTTTCAGTTATTTATGGAGATCTATTAATGTCAAACTTCAACGCGCTCGTTTACCCGTAGTGAGAAAGGAATAAAATTGATATTAAATTCAGTTAATAAACAACTCAAAAAGTTGACTTTCAGCTAATATTTATTTCTGTTCGATGTATGTTTAATTTGCTTTGGGGAATTTTCTACGGTTGACTATTGACTGCAAATGAACACGTGTAAACAATGCTGATATTCAGAAAACCAAAACTTCTTCTGGTATATGTATTTAGGACACAAAACTTGCACTATTCTAAAGTTTAGTTATCTCTTTATTCACGAAAGAAGTTTTAAGATTTGGAAATTCAAAGATCGCTCTAAATTATAATTTCAATTTAACCCATTTATAACGCTTTCCGATATGAATTCAAGAAGCGCTTCTCCAACAAAACAATGTTTCCTCCCATGAATTTAGTAAAAAACTCTTTATAACGCCATTAAACGATAACCTACGTTCTAGAATAGCAATACGGATTGTAACTTGTGAGAATAGTGGTTACCGAAATTTTTTGACCTTTTGCGTACTTGGCCTACATACATCAGTAATGACACTTCAGTATAATTAATTATGTCAAATCGGTTTGAAATCAATTATTGTTGAAATGCTTCCTGATTTTATTCCTATACCTATACCGTTAAGTTACTTAAACACAATTGCTGATTGAATAAAAAATCAGCGATTATTTATCAATAAAACTAGAAAATGTGTACTAAAGCTTGTTCTAGATGGGGCGTTGTACAAGGTCACGCAATCTTGTTTTGATAATGATATATTCTTGCAATCTTGCAATTACTTGTTCGCTAATAAACGCCACATACAGTCAACACTGCCTGTACTTACTTTGGGCTTGCCATTATAGTCCAAACATGGCCGTTTGTGCTTTTAAAAATCTCGTGGATGAAAGTAGTGTCTGTGGGACGTCTTCGGAATATACCGAATTACATTGCATTTCATTAAAAGTCTGCAACAGAGACGTGAGAAGACATCTTGAGCTTCACAAATTAATAACGATGAAGGTCTAAACAACGAGATGAAATTATTGCCCGCACGAGCAGTTATACGTTCGTGAATATTTTTTCAGTTCCAGTTTGCTCGTTTTTGGTTTAAACACTAATTAAACAAATACTTTTTGCCCAAGGTGTCTTTACTGTTGAAGATTCGCATGATTCTATAACAATATGCCCTCGCCATCGTGACCAGTTTGGTCTTCGTTGGAGATGCGGGAAAGTAAACTGTGCATTACCAAAAGAAGTAGCTTGGTACAAATCGAACACAGCAAAGGGAGATCGATGTATCAACAGCAGTCAATCAAAGTATCTGGTAGCCAGCACGCAACAATTAATTCCAGTTGGATCCGGACTTGTAAGTTCGCCCACATTCGAATGATTTGCTGTCAATTTAAGGGAAGCCTCACATATCGATTTTTTCCACGAGAAACGTCATATGTTCGTTTGGGGGTGGGGGGGTTTGCAGTTGTGACGTTTCTCTGTAAATATCATGGAAAAATTCGATAGTTCTTTCGAAAGCCTTAACATTTTGAAATCATCTTTGCAGAGTATAAAAAAGAAAACAACTTGATACAAACACCAGTCTATAGGGCTACATTCGTAATACCATACCTGTTCTACACGTATAAATTTATATTATTAAGCCTTCCTTGCATTGAAAGCACTCAAATTTCACGAAAACCGCGCTAAAATTATCAATATTTTATATTTCATGCAAAAAAAGTTGTTTTGAGAAACGTTGGAAATTTTGAAGTTCATATATATTAATATATATTAATAGAAAAAAGATATGTCAGCAGAAGATGACATATTCCTCGCGAAAGCGTCCCCATGCAATAGACGACCGTAGAAAATAGTAGAAAATTACCTTATGTGTACTATATTGAACAAAATATCGATAACTATTTGTGATGTTTCTAAGGGTGGGGGTCTTCAAAGAAACGAACATATGACGTATCTCATGGACGAAATCGATATGTGAGGCTTCCCTAATACTGAAACGTTTTGAACTACTCTAGCGGCAAAAATGATACCGGAAAAATTGTCGCGCAATTAATTACAGTATTGACGGATTAATTTCAAGAAAAAACTTGCATATAAATTTTTCCCTGGTGACATTGCTGTATTCTGTAAAGTTTCTGTCATCAAAGCAAATATTCGTTAATTACTGAAATACGCAACGTATGGCAGAGACGGTATAGTGGGAAAGCTCTTGTATTTTAATTGTAAATAGCCGTTCACACAAAGAATGCATATTATACTGTAGTGGATGGGGCAACCCAAAATAAAAACAGTACCAGTATCTTACACATGAGAGATCCTCCAGAAAAATGGAGAAAAATACAGTGGATCCTGCTCCGCGTCCACTCACTTTATATTTTCGGCCACATGGCTATTATTGAGGACGATAATTGTAAGGCGATGTCTGTTTTGAGGAACTTTCATTATTAATTAATACAAAAGGGGGGGGGCTGGTAAGGGTCTTGAAAAAGCAATAGTAAAAGATACATCCCCCTCTGCGAGACGAAGGAAAACATAAAGCCTCCCTCGACTACGGTTTCAAATATTTACATCCCCCCTCTTTCTTTTCTTTACCACAATTAATATTTTTACATTTTCCATATAAAAAGAATATAAGATATGAATTGAATATTCTTTGGCATGTATTGGTCATACTGTATACTAAAAGAATAAGAATAAGAATAAGACTAAGAATAATTACGATCTCAACTCTTGTGCTCGTGCCAGACCCATTCCATGTGATGCACATTAAAAAGGTCAATTTTCAAATGATAAACGAGCTTCACGCAGACTGCATATAATCCCTATATCTGTTAATAATGTTAATTGTTGTCGTCCATAATTATTTGATCTTCCTATAGAAAACGAAATGAAATATGAGGTATTGCAAAAAGTCATTAGAATTCATTGCGCTACATAAACATGACTTCACTTAACTTATAGTTTTGCGTGACACTTGTAATCATACAATTTACAAAATAGATAGACTTGGTTCAAATTCTTGTACGGTTTATAACCGACATCTATTTTAATCGATATTCCTTTGTCATCCACAACATTTCAAATAATGTCTTCTAGTTTCTCCTTGATCTTAGTCGGGAAAGAAAAACCCGATTTAGCATAATTAATCATGCATGCCGATAATGTCCACGCATGAAAAAATCGCGTCAAAACTGAAAAAATCACTGTAACCACTATTCTTACAACCATATTGCTATTGTAGAGGGTAAGGTATCCTTTAATAGTGTTTCAAGAGTTTGTTACCGAAATCGATTCATGGGAGGAATATATTGTTTATTGGAGAAGCGATTATTGAATTCGTATCGGAAAGCGTACAAATGGGTCATCTTGAAATTTTTATTCAGAGCGTTCTTTGAATTTCCCAAGCTGAAAACGTCTCACGTTTATAAAATGATAACTAAACTTTAGAATAGTGCAAGCTTTGTGTCCGAAACACATATACCAGAAGAAGTTTTGGCTTTCTGAATATTAGCATTGTTTACACGTGTTCATATGCTGTCAAGAGTCAATCGTAGAAAATGCCCCAAAACAAAGTAATCATACATCAAAGAGAAATAAATATTAGTTAAATGTCAACTTTTTGAGTTGTTTATTAACTGAATTTAATATCAATTTTGTTCCTTTCTTACTACGGGTAAACGAGCGCGTTGAAGTTTGATATTAATAGACCTCCATAAATAGCTGAAAACACGCCCGTCAGACGGATTTTCGAAATTTTGTAAATCTAACAAAACAAAAAATTCTCCAGGACTTTTAAATATAATTTTCTGAAACAGTTCCCTAAAGAGAATGTTTTGGCGAAATAAACAGAATTTCGGTTTTCTTGAACTGTCACGAGAATCTCGATTCTTACAGACATCTGCTCTTAACTGTCTTATGTTAATAAGTCAAAGCAAGCGTCTTTCACCTCTGAGTTCGTGGGTCTGATTCTTGCTACGGACTCATGTGAAAAGAAATCAGTCAAGGCTCTGTCGAAAGTCGTGGGTTTTCCCCGCCCGATCCGGTTTCCTCCCACAAGAAAGTTGACAGAATGGGTTAGGATGAGTACAGTTGAGAAAGTAATCACAATGGTTGTAAAGATAAATAGTCCAGGCTAAGTAACATAAAACCTGGTTTCCATATGGTCGTAAAAAATACAGGGTGTGCAAAAAAAAACTAAACAGATTTGAAATTGCTCTCAATTTTGCAAAACAGCTATTAGTATCCAGTTTTTGATGTATATAGATAGTTTCTTTGGGTACTTATAATGTATTTATTTATTTATTTAGCTTTGCCAACTAGGGCAGGGTCACCACAACAGCATATGCCAATTACTGTGGGCCATTTTTGGCTAACCCACCCTATCAACTTTCCCTGTGGGAGGAAACCGGAGTACCCGGGGAAAACCCACGGCTTTCGGCAGAGCGTTGACTTTTACTCTTTTCACATGGGGACTGGATTCGAGTCGCACTGAGAAGGTACTTAGTGAGATTCGAACCTGCAGCCTCAGAGGTGAAAGGCAAGTGCGCTAACCACTTGGCCACCGAAGCCCCTTGAATGCAGAACAATGGAAAAATTTCTCGAACTCAAATTTTGTGAACCAGGGGAGGTGTCTTTTCCAACAAATTAAAAATAGATTGCGCACGAAATTTGGAAGCTTTAATCATATTTTGAGTTAATAGATGGAAAATTTGTTGGGTTTTTAATTACTGTACAAAATTTCAGACAATTTGCTTAAGTTTAAGCCTTTAGCTATTCATTTTTTCCTAAAAAATCAGCATTTCGCATGCTTAATTAATGCGTAGGTGGTTGTCCTTCAGTAGCATTGTGATTGTGTTTGACGAAAGGTTGTTCAATTGAGGCCAATGAGCTACTGTTTGAAACGGCTAGTATATAAAACGTATTTGAAATTACAACATTTAATAATAATAATAATTAATGCCTTTACCTAATTTGCATATTGCTGACATATGCAAATTAGGCAAAGGCATTAATTAAGCATGCAAATAGCTGATTTTTAGGAAAAAATGTAAGTTTGCGTGAATAGTTAAAGGGCTTAAACTAAAGTAGATTGTCTGAAATTTTGTACAGTAATTAAAAACTCAACAAATTTTCCATCTATTAACTCCAAATATGATTAAAGCTTTCAAATTTCGTGCGCAAGCCAGTTTTAGTTTGTTGGAAAACACAACCCCCTCCTAGTTCACAAAATCTTAGTTCGAGAAATTTTTTTCATTATTCTACATTATTAGTACCCAAAGAAGCTATATACATCGATAACTGGATACTAGTAGCTGTTTTGCGAAATTGAGTGCAATTTCAAATCTGTTCAGTTTTTTTATACACCCTGTAGAGTCACGATCTTTCGCAATGGCCAGTTTATAATAGTTTCTACCTGTAAACCACATTATAAATCATAAGTATTCTCTTGTTCTAATCGCTCAGCGTATTTTCAGTTCTAAAATGTTGTATTTCGACTGATGAGAAAGATCGTTGCTCAATCTTTACGACCGTTTACGACCATATGAAAACCAGGCTTAAGTAAGCGTGCTACTTCATGTAATCAGTCACTGAAAAGTCCCAATGGTCGGTGACCTGAGTAATAGTGTAATGTAATTTCCAACGTAGGGCAATATTTTCTTCGAAGCAAGTTTAGGTTTAGTTGATTGGATTTGTACAGGACGCTGTAAAACACGGGCGGGGAAACGGCTATGGCGCCCCTGATCTAAATGTGTGATGCAGCCCCCCCCCCCGCATATTTTGATTGTTCGAATAAGCGTGCTTGTTTTGGGTTCGTTTTAAAATTTAATACGATGATTGTCAATTTGAAAAATACAATTCGAGCTGAATTCACAATGGATTTTGTGGTTCTGTGCTATTAGAAGACAAAAGCTTTTTTCAGGATTCTTAATAATTGTGATAGGGAATGTTGTAGTCTATATAAAAAGCCGGGGATTTCACTGCGGGGTTCGACATTTGGACTATTTATAATACGATTCACGAAGTGATCAGGGTTTTTTGCAAAACAACTGCGTTCGTCTGTATGTTTATAAGATGAAAATATATAGATGAAGATAAGTTTTCAAACGGCTGTTGTCATAAACGCTGCAACTGGAATGTTTGTTTGGAAATCAGGTCGACTTTAAACTTTTCGAAATGGCGAGAAGCTATATTTTAGATCTTACAACGTTAAAAAGCTAGGCTAAAAGAAATGTTTTATAAAAAAAAGCCGGTTATCCAATATTGTATTTCGGTTATATCATAACTTAATCTCATAGAATACAAAAGTTTTGGGTAGATTTCGAACCTTGCATGAAAACTTAAAAATACAGTTTTTCCGCGGTTTGTTTTTCATTGTTTATAAGTGATGTCCCGTGTTCAATGGCGAGAAGCTTTATTTTTAAATTGGCAAGGTAAAAAAGCGAGGCAAAAAGACATGCTTTATCAAAAAAGCCATTTATCTAATATTGTATTTCGGATATATCATAACTTAATATCATAGAATACAAAAGTTTTGGGTAGGTTTCGGACCTTGCGAAACTTTTACGAGCATTTCCGCGGTTTGTTTTTCCTGTGATGTTAAAACATTTGCAGTCCAAAAATGCTCGATGCTCGCACGTCCGCTATTGCGATCGATGGCCGTACTACGCTTCTCCACTAAACAAAACCGACGATTTTACTAGTAATGAAACATGTGTCGAAAAACATCAGTTTAAACTCGGTTTGGAAAAGTATTCTTGAATTAATATCATTTTAGTCAATTTACCCGATTCTGATTGGTTAAAAACCGTGCCGATTAAACATTAATCGGCACAGTGTGCCGATGAAAGATTAATCGGCACGGATACAAGCCCGCGTGGATCATGCGTGCATTTTAATATAAAAACACAAAATGTCAACAACCTGGCTTTCATTTGTGCCCTACGCTCTTCAAGTGTTACCCAGCCTAGAGATTTTCGTGCCAAAATAGACTGACCATGTTCATTTTTTAAGTTCATGATCAACCTAGCCGCTCTGTTTTGGAATTTCTGTAGACGTTCGCTTAGACCTTTATTAAGTGTATCCCATACTTCACAGCAGTAATCAAAATAAGGTTGGATTAAGGCATTATAAACTTTTATCAAAATGTCTTGTTCGACATACTCCCTCATTTTTCTAATAGCCCCAATACCTGATCATATTTTACTGCTAATATGGTTAATGTGTTTTTCCCAACTCAAGTTTTCGTCTAATTCAACTCCAAGAGCTTTGGTATTTTTAACTTTTTTAATCAATTGATTATTTATTTTAACTCCTTGATGGGTATCAATATTACTTATTTTATGTCGTGTTCCAATTAAAACATACTCAGTTTTCACTATATTTAGACTTAGTTTATTTGCACAAAGCCATTTCTGAACATTCCTCATGTCTACGCTCGCCCTCTCTTCCGCCTCACTAATTGTTCTGCCTACTGCCGTTAAGTTAGTATCATCAGCAAACATTCTTGGAGTTGTGCGTTCTAGGCAGCTTGGCAAATCATTTATATACATAATAAATAAGAGAGGGCCGAGTATACTTCCCTGAGGAATGCCACAAATGATTTCTTTCTCCACCGAGAGTATACCGGCCAATTGACAACTTTGAGTTCGGTGCGTCAAATAGCAACGTAAAAGATTTAATGCTTTCCTTTGGAAACCATACATTTCAAACTTACTTAACAGTATTTCGTGGTCGACTGTATCGAATACTTTTTTTAGGTCAAAAAAAACAACTAAGTTATACAGCCCACGGTCCATGTTGGTATACCATTCGTTCGTACAATACAATAATGTAGTAGTTGTGGAATGATATAAGGTCTGAAACCAAATTGGTGTTTTGAGAAAAGATTATTCTGGTTAAGATACTCATACATTTGATCATACATAATTCTTTCCATAAGTTTACTTACTACAGGAAGGATTGATATCGGTCTATAGTTGTCCAACATGGACCGCTGACCTTTCTTAAACAATGGAATAACCCTTGCAGCTTTCCAACCAGAAGGAAATTGGTCCGAGTCAATTGACATATTAAAAATCTCAGTAAGAGAAGGTGCAATAACTGGAGCTGCTACTTGTAGAATTTTAGCTGAAATTTTATCCATTCCAGTCGCTTTAGTGGTAGACAAATTAACTAGAAGAGTGTAAACCAATGTTACACTCACTGGTCGAAATGAGAAACTGTTCTTTGTCTTAGATTTTTGTTGAGTAATAAAATCCCGAAAACTAACGTCATTGTCATTTGGAATAGACTCAGCAAGCTTTGGGCCAATATTACTAAAATGATCATTAAAAATGTCGACTAATTCGTCGGTCGATGTAACAGTTTTACCTGGAAGTTTAATTTCATTAATCGTAGTCTGTTTTCTGTTTCGACCTAATATATCGTTTATTGTTCTCCAAGCATATTTAGGATTCTGTTTATTATTTGTGAATTTGTTTGCATAATAATCTCTTTTCGCACTGCGCAAAGCAGTGTTGGCAACATTTCTAGATGACTTATATAGTCTCCAGTCTTCTTCTTTATTTGTCTTTATTGCTTTACGCTTAAGAGCATCTCTTTTAAATAATTTTTCCTTTACTTCCCGGCTTACCCAAGGAATATTGCCCCCTTTTCTTAATCTTTTTACTCTCACAGGGGCATGTTTATCCAGCACATCTACAAAAAATGTTTTCATAACCGCCACATTTCATCTACATTTCTTTTAAATCTTATTTCTTCCCAAGGTATATTTTGTAAGTCATATAGAAAGCCTGAAACATTGAAATTCTTAAAATTTCTATACTCGACAGAACCTTGTAAATCAGTTTTTATTCTTGTACTTATTTTCCGAATACTATAAATGAGGCTGTGATCACTAATTCCGAGATGGACTACACCTGAAAAAATTATTTTTCCAGGCATTGACGCAATTACTACATCCAATAATGATTGGCTAGACTGGGTAATACGCGTAGGGTTATTAATTAATTGTGTAAGCTGATATAATTCCAAAACGTCTTGAAGCCTTCTAGTGGTGGACAAAGTTGGTTCTAGCATATTACAATTTAAATCTCCCAAAATATAAAATTCTATATTTTCATCATCAATTGATTTGATTAGCCTCTCAATTTTTATAAACACTTCACTAGCGGAACATGGTGGTCTATAAATACTTGAAACTATAAAAGATTGACTATTAGCCTGCTTAATTTCCACACAGACAGCTTCAAGGCCTGATTGAACTAGATCAGGGCGATTTTCATAATTTATATGGCGTCTTATATAAATACATACCCCTCCTCCATTTCTATTCCGATCAGCACGTAGCAAGTCATAACCTTAAATGCTAACAATCCCATCGGAAATAGTGGAGTGCAAACGGGTTTCATTAACTGCTAAAACATCTAAATATTTATCGTGAAGTAATAATCGGATTTCATCAAGGTGTTTCGGAAGGCTAACTACATTAAGCATAGCCATCTTAAAACCCCTTGTTTTCGGAATATTTAAACAGGCATCATTAGCACTCCTCCTCGACCCGTCCTCATTTCAATTATGCAAACTTAAGAAATGTGAAAAGTTTGCCTGAAGCAAAGAGCTACCTTCTCGGTTTAAATGCAGTCCTCTACTATTTAAATGAGAGCGACTAATATTACTATTGTCTAAAAATGCAAGCTTTTTCTTCAAGCAGCTTGACTTTAATATATTGTTGGTCTCATTTACCTTCCTTGTAAGTTCCTCTCTATCGCATCTAGTGACTAAAGAAGAGATGATGACTTCAGTATCATTGCAATCCTTTTTAAAATTCTCTGCTAACTCGATAATTTTCTTTGCAATTTCTTTAGGACTTGAATAGCGTATGTCGTTTGTGCCTGCGTGGATAATGAGTTTATCGGGTTGCTTTCGTGCAGTGGGCTTTAAGAAATCAGACATATCATTAACTGTTGCACCTGAGAAAGACTTAACTATTACGTTTCTGTCAGTGTTGGATACTTCCCAACCTTTTACATATTTTATAATCGAATCTCCAGCTATAACGACAGTTTCTTTAGTGCGTTGTCTTTCTGCTGTTATTTCCTCACTTGCCTTATGCGCTTCTCTTGTTTGCTCGTTTTCCTTTGCCTTTTGTTCGTTATTCTTCACCTTTTGTTTCTTATTCTATTCTTCTTATGCTTTTGTTCCTGAATAATCTGCTTCGTAGTTCTTTTTCCAATTTCTCGTTGCGCCGTTGATGCATGATCGGTTTCACTGTCACTTGCAGCAACACAGCCATGTTTTGGATCTTTGGGTCGTTCTTTGCTAGTGTCCTGGATTTCTTTATTCTGGGGAGCCTGTGTAGACTTTAAGATGACGCTGTCGTCCTCACTAGCTTCACTGTTGTCGATATCATCACTCAAGACTATATATTGATTTTTTATCCGAGTTGCACCATCTTTGTCCCTGATGTCACCACTGGGACCAATTGTAGAATAATTCTTTGAGGAACCACGGCCAATCTTAGACCTTTTATGATTGTTTACAACATTCCAAGACGCTATAGATTTATTAGCATGACAAGTATGTTGATTTTGATCATCATGTAGAATTTGAATGACGGTGACCAAGCTGTCTTTTTCATTTTCTAAATCTTTGACCTTTGTTCTCAAGTCCAATGTAATACATTTGTAGTTGTTAATCTGCTGTTTAAGTAAAGCATTTTCATCCGTAAGACTAGCGTTCTCTTTAACGAGAAATCCCTTATTAAAAACCGTAGATATTGATTCGTCACGAGACTTGATGTTTTCGTTCTCGTCTCTTGTGAGGTTCCTGATATCTAATTCTGATCTTATTTCCAGAGCTTCGCTTGCAAGTTCTGTGTATTCAGCTTCTAGGTTCCCTCGCGCAATTTTCTCGACATGTAATTCTAGTCTAGTCTCGTGTACTTCGCTTGCGAGATCATTTATCCTACTTTCCAACTTCGCCTCAAGGCTTCTTACGGTATTAAGCAATGATTCATACTCGTTTAACTGACCAGTGGAAATTTGATTCTCGCTTTCGTCACTTGCTGCTTCCTCATCAAAGTTGATTGATATTTCGCCATTACCAGAGACACAGGCAGCATTTGTGTCTTCGGATTCTAACTATAGCTGTTTGTTGAGATGAATAAGTTGAGTCTTAAACTCATCACACATAAATATAATGTTTCTTATCATTGATTGCTCGTGTAAAATTGAAGAAGAGTGTAAGAGTGCTACGCACTCGCGGTATTATAAATATTTCGCCAAACACGCGTGCGATTTTTCATTAATACTTCTCGAACCGTGTAATTTCCTATACTAATTATCAATGCATGTACTTATGCACTTGAAGGCTTTTTGAGAACGTAATTAAACATTTATTCTGTTGCCAGCAACAAAAATTAATAGCTATACTTTTGATGTACAAAAGGTTTTTAACTTCATGAAAATAAAATTAGTACAGCCAAAAAAGCCAGTAAAAGCCGGTCTAGCTGTATTAAGTAGTGTAAAGTATTATAATTTTGGCAACTTTTTGCGCCACCAAATGTACCTAGAATAATCTATGGACTTCATAAACTAATGTAAAATCTATTGTCAGCGCTTAAAAATTATAGATTTTAACAGAAATAAAAATAAAAACATATTGATTAACATTTATTTATTAAAAGGCAGTGCATTTTTTGTGAATTTTTATAAAGTAAAATTAAAGTAGGCCTATAGTGGCTTTTCTTTCGATATTACACTGAATATTTACGTTAAAGTTTAAACATATCTTTATTATAACTTTGAACATCCAGCTCTTGAACAAATCTTCGTTTCGCTGCCATTTTCGCTTTTCTTCTTGTCGTTCTTGATTTTTTTGCAAAACGCGCGCTCGTGCCATTCCCCAGCCGTCACACATGGATCAGCGCGATATCAGCACGTTCCTCGCCCGTGTTTTATTACGCCCTGGATTTGTATGATTAACCTGAGCGCTTACTGCATCTTCAGTAAATACCGTTGAGTGTTCACATGCAGGAATGGCGAAACGAGCTGCCTCGAGCGTAAGCCTCTTTAATTCAGAGTTGGACTAATTGTCAGACTTTATGCTCTTGATTATCTTTACGCACGCTCTAAAATTGTTGGTGCTGCCACAACGTTAGTGTGCAAATCATTGCAGTTCGGTGTGATTTACATTTATTGTAAATGTTAACACCATTTTGTTAGCACCAAATACATTGATCCATCGTGATATTCGCTGGCAATACAAAAATCTGATATATAAACTTCGGATACTAAAGCCCAATTCACATGCACTAGCAATTCTCTCTTCAGTCTGACATGCACATTAAATATTTGAATTATACTTGTGATCTAACCCTGGCAAATGCAGTTATACTAATTGCGCTCTAGCCAATGAGGTAATGGGATCGTCCTCCCTCCCCGCTTCGCACGGAATCGACCATTGAGATATGGAATGTTGATTTATTGATCAATTATTATTGGAATAACAAGGTATCGTGGTCTATTCCGATATAAATGTTTTTATAGATTTTTTTTATATCGATTAATTTACAAATTCTCAGTTTGTTCGTTAACTTCAGCCAGGGGCCGGTTGTATAAAACTGTTAATCACTATTTTAATCTCTATTTTGTAGTTAAATAGTGATTAAATCTCAAATAGGCGCTTCTTAGGCTATTGGATGACGTTTCCACTAACTCTAGTTAACTTTAATCACTTTTTTATACAACCGGCCTCAGGTATATAAATCATGTTTTCGCTCCCTACCCTGGTTTATATAAATGAATAAAATATCCAGTCGAATTGTAATCAAGACCCAACGTTTCGACCGCACTCCAGTCTAGTGTCTTCATCAGGGGTGATCTAAAGTTCCAATGTGGCTTCTTAAGTGCCCAAAGGGTGACGTCATCTGCCCATAAGGTGCACCGTCATCCCTATTCAAAGCATGATTACACATGTCCCGTAAATTTCACTATAAAGTATCAAGGGCTATTATCCCTCGCTGTCTAGTGGTTCCTTAATTTCGGTGTGAAGACTACTAGTGTTTTAACACATTTCGTACGATAATAGCGCGTGTTAAAATCCTTTTGTTTACGTATTAAAATCTATGCTGGAAGACCGAAAATCCCCGTGCATGTTCACATACTGTTATAGAAACACAGCTCTCGACTAATAATAAATGTTATTTTCCTCGTAGCCAGTGTCTTATCTCAGCTCCAATTGCTCTTGCGATAGCAAAAACCTAATTCAAGCAACACCGCTGTCAAACGTCCGCGCGTATTTACTGCTTGTATTCAAAAGCCTGGAAATAACAAGGGTGGGTTGACTACAAAATTTTTGTAGTTCGCTATAACTACAGCTACTTCAAAAATGTGTAGTCAGCTACAACTACTGCTACTTTTGAACAAAGGTAGTTCGCTACTGACTACATGCAGCTACTGCTTAAAAAATGTAGCGAACTATTTCGCTATTTCGCTACACTATATTTTTAGTTTTACTATATTTGGAGAATCAACTAACTCAGGTTGTAATGTAATCTATAACTAATCGACTTACGAGTAGCAACAGTAAAAACAAACCAACATTTTTATAAGCACTACACAGTGTTCAGGAGTGCAAATTGACTATTGAGTATTGATTTTAAGCAAACCGTGACTCAATATCATGCTTTTCTATCAAGTTGCTAACAATTTTAAAAAGTAGCGAATAGCGATTCGCCGTTTGAAAAGTAGTCAACTACTTGGCTACTTTTAGGCAAAATGTAGTTCGCTATAACTACAGCTACTGTTTTAAAAAAGTAGTCAAAAACTACTGGCTACAGTTGAAAATTGTAGTTCGCTACAGTAGCGAACTACAACTACTTCGCTACAACCCACCCTTGGGAAATAATATTGTCTTCATGAAGCTCTAGCAATAAGTTTGAAGAAATTACGAGTGTTTAAACTCAGTAACTTTGTCTTGACACAAGGAAAAAGTGGTGAAACTTGCTATCTTATAGCTTTAGCCGCTTCCTTGTAGTAACGCTTTCTTTTCCTGTATTTACTCCTAATATTTGGCAGACTTTTTTCCCACCATTTCCGTATACTCGCGCATGTGCTTTACGTTTGATCGCGGTGTTAATCCAAGCTGTTCGCGTGACATCTTTATTCGCATTGTCCCGTGGACAGGTTGGTAGGGTTGTAGAAATATTTGAAGTGGAGAAATAGCATTTTATGAAGGTAATTGAAGATTACATGCAGTACGAGTCATCTACTTTCCTTCCTTTAATTTTAAAAAGCACATTACATGTTTTCACTAGTTTAGACAACATTATTTTGCAACTGGTTCGACATCCGACAAGAATAAGTGGCTTTTGTGATTGATTACATTTTGAAACTGTTTCGCCTAGGATCATTAGTTTATTAGTTTATTAGTAATAATTTTTACACATGGACGAAAACTTTGATTAAACACATTACAGGTGAAACGTTCTCATGTCTAAGACAGACTAGACAATATGATCCCAAAGTCATTAATAATACATTAGTAAATTAGCCAACCATATTACCTTATTTTGCTCATGTGATCAGACTGGGTAGCTGGTGCAGTCCTCAGACTGGATCAAAATCAATTCATCTCACTTTAACTAGTGACTTATTCGCATGAGATGTCATATCAAATCCTACAATTTGGTGAAGTCCAGAGCGTATCAAATCCTGGTACAGTCCTCATAGTCGAATTTTATATATTACCTCAAATCGACAGTGAATTGGTGGGAGAGCAATATTTCAAATATTGCTAGAGCGGAAATAAAACCCTGAATACGAGCTAACTCCGGCTTTGTTTTTAAATCCAAGAAGGCGGAAATTGAAACTCGTCTTGTAGGCATGCCCCAGGTCTCTACCGAAAATTCACTGAATTCAGTACGAAAAATCTGTACATATATCATTTCAGGTAGATATTTAATTAATAATATTTTGGCTGACTATTTTTTAAGTCAGGCTTATGATGGCCTTAAAAGATAGAGCAAGTTGTTTTTTCCGAATAACCAAATTTTAGAACAACTTCATCATCAAAAGCAAAGTTATTTGACGAGTGGAAAATAAGTTCAGAAAGAAATCCGCGGAGAAACACAAGGAAGCCTTTGTTTTTCTAGAGTGTCTATGAGGGATTTTAGCTGAACACAGAATGCAGCTAGTAGGGTATTTACCACTAAAAACGAGCATTTGTTTGCAAAAATTGAAAAAATCGATCGGAAAACCTTACTCATTTGTCAACTCCCTTGACGTCCACGCTACGTGGAGTAACCAGCCCGACAATTTAGTCCCGCTATGCAAATTCAAAATTATTATCATTATTCATTTCTTTGGAAATTGATTGTGTTCACAGTAAATGAACACAAAAATATTTGCAAAGCGGGACTAAATCTTCGGGCTGGCTACGCCACTGTCCACGCATATTTTGTACCTACAAAGAGATCACTCTATTGGCCGCCATTTGGCTTCACCAATCATAGTCTGTTTACCTGGAATTATCTTTCCAGTATTTATAGAGTTCATTGGCTTGTGTTCTAGTATTCTAACCATCAGATGCAAAATAAAAATATTCCTATATATTTCTTTCTAGAAATGTGGCTTCTTTTACTACTTACTGCGCGTTTCTTAACAATAGCTGCCGATCTATCAGTAGAAGATTGTTTTGATGAAGCTGCCGCCAAATATATAACTTGTACACCTGTGCACGCTAGACCAGCTGTTTGCGACTGCATATTCAAAGATCCGTGTTACATTAAAATGATTATAAGTAGGGGGAAAATTTCTGGTTCAAACGAATCCCACTATTTTATCAATCAGACATTCCAAGGTCCAACCATTACCGTGCAGCAATATGGGATCGTCGTCATTGATTTTTCCAATGAAATGGACGAAGATACTTCCATTCACTTTCATGGAATGTACCAGCGGAACGTTCCTTGGATAGATGGGGTAGGAAATGTAACCCAATACCCTATACCTGCCAAAGGGCGGTTCAGGTAAACTACAAATACATGCGTGCACTATATTTTCCAAACATTGTTTTTGATTAATAAAATGACCAAACGATTATACCACGATAAGTGGCAGCCACGGTAAACTGCCGTTCA